AGACCGAGCTGATGTTAGCTGAATGACAAGTGTTTACCCTCTTACCAGCTACATTAGCTCCTTGGATGAAAGTATGCCTATATTGGAGGTGCTGAAGTTGGCTGGATGACACTGATTTTGTGTTTTCCTTGATGGTACTTGGGCTCTACTGCTGTGGCTGCTCTTGCCGGGTTGCCAGATTGGGTGGTTTTGTGATCTATTTTGCGAGCCAAGATGTGTTGGGGGTGGGTGGATAAAAATTGGGCTGGTTTTGGATTAGTTCGGTGGGTTTTTGTAGCCAAAACACCAGAGCAGTTAAGAATCTAAAGTGCTGGTCTGTTAGAATGTGCGCTGACATGGTGGTAATCTGACTCCTTGCTGGTGGTGGTGTACCCGGAAACAGAGTTATCCACTGCATTCTTATGGTGCCTTTTTTCCTCTCAAAAACTGCTTTAGAGTCTGGTCCAAAAGTTGGCTCTTGACTCAATGATCCATTCCAGATGCTAGTCAATGCTGAGGGTTTTTTTTTGGATTAGCCTATTTTAGATGCTGTGGACTTCTCGTCAAATGAATGGGGCTCCTGCCGGCTAACGCATGTGCAAATGAGTTTTTTCACATATTTAAAAAGGCGGAAGGAGGGATAAGTGATGACATATTTAGGCTCTACAGTTTTGATACCTCTTCCTGCTACACGCTCCAACTCATAGGATCGCACCCTCTCCCCATACATCTTGGTCTTATGATTTCTTTTCTCATTTTTAGCAGGATTGTTTTTAACAACTTATTTAAACTTTTATTCACATCTCATTCTTTTAATCAGATACTTACCTGTCTGTTCCTTTATATTGTAACTTTGATTGTTACCCTTGGGTTTAAACTATCCCCCTACCCTTGGTGTGTACCACATAACTATAAGGTTATATCAACACTCCTAAAACCACCTTTGACTTTAGGAAGATATCTCAGGACAGATTAGAGGGACTATGTTTCTCACCTTCACCTGAGACAGCCTCAGGATTCCCCATTACATTGGTAAAGAATACCAATGGATATGTGCATGGGCCTCTCTGCTTTGACTTCTGCCACCGCTATAATGGCCAATGGGAACATAACCGACCTCAGTCCAATGAGATTCATTTGGTCTTCTGACAGATTCTACAAGTTGATTGTTTTTTAAGACAGGTATTTTATATCTGACAATTTTGCCTGCTGGCACGTAGTCTTCCTCAGAGTAATAACCTGGTATGAGAAAACCATTCTGGTCTTAAGAATAAAGAATAAAAGAAACCACTTGTAGAATTACCGACAAGTAATTTCTGGGCCAGGCCAAACCTTTCTGTGTGGAGTTTGAGTAGGTTTGCTCCGGGCACTCCTGTTTCCCTTCATACTTCTTGGACTGGAACTCTTCACAGAAACGACTGAACTCCAAAGTCAGTTTGGAGCTCTTCTTAAAGCCCTGGAACTGCAGCCAATGGCCAGTAGTTTTTAATTATGCAGCAAATAGTTAATGTGTGTATGCACTGGATATTTCATGATGTCGATGTCCTGACCAAACATCAACATTGATGATGAGATGTGTCCCCAGGGGCTGGACTGCAGGGATCACTGCTCCTGACAGGATTCCTTCGTGATATCGGACGGCTAGACCAATAACGTAATTACCAGATTATTTAAACTGAGGTTAGTTGCTTATTTGTGTTGAGGTTCACTGTATCAATCAATCCTCTCAGGAAAAGAACACTGGCTACAAACCACACCACATATCATGTCTGTTTATCCACAGCCACATTTGCGTAAATGGAAAAATCAATGAATTATTATGGATGGCTCTTTGACTCGTCTTAATGCTTTGAGGAAGTCAAATTATATATTAGGTTTCAGAGTGAATGCCATTTGAGCTTTTAACACTTGGCCATGAATAATAATTCAGAAATATTTAATGACAACTGAATATTACCCTATGTTTATTCTTTTTTTAACAAACCGACCTGCCTTTATAAAACCTCAGTCAGTTTCAGTAGTGTATAATGGAATGGAATGAGAACTACATGTCCTCGTCTTGTCTCTTGCCTCATGCCAGGAAGCACTGTGTTAAATAATACAGCAGCTGTACCTATACTTAACACTCACACTGCTTCACTGTAATTACCTGTTATTAGACGTGTTGAGTGATATGATCTTTTAAATGTATTTAGATCCCTGAACTTTTTGGCGGGGGTTTCATTTCTATCATTATCACATTTATGGAGCATAAATTCCCCAAACCATTACTACATCACATATCTTTGGGTCAACCTTTTGATACCAGTGGAAGCTCAAGACTTTTTCTGTTTACCGACACGTTAAACAGTACCCAGATCACAATTTGTTAGTCTTTTAGATTTAAGATGATCTCATTTAGGCCTGTCGAGAAACTATTTGGACTAAAGCCAGAGATAATTTCATGGATTTACTGATCTTATCCTGTTTAAGATCACCTTTATACCAAATCATTATTTACAGCACTTCTGATTCATTTTGGCACAAATCATAGCGTTGGATTTTTTCCAAACACAATCCCACAAAACACTTGTCACAACCAATCAAGAAAAACGCCTATAGGTTCTAATGAAAATGCTGTTAAAAACACATTTTAATCATGTTCTGTTTATGGAAACTAAATTAATTCAAGTTGTCCCAAGAGCACTTGAACAACAACAAGGACATGAGTTACAGCTGTTTTGCAGGTGGACCAAGCAGCACCCACATCTGGGCCTTCACTGGACTTGCCATTGAAGTCCCAGCACATTAAAATTGTGCTAATACTGGACACTTTCCTCAGATGGTGCCTCGTCGTTTCACCTATGGTAAATGGAAAACAAATAAAAAGTGAAGAAGATAAAACTCCTATGTTGTTAAATCGTTCCATGTGTTCACATCAGAGATCTTGTTAATACTGGGACCTAACTGGGACCAAAACCCAAGAGGCGTTTGGTAAAAGTGGCCTTTCTGCATGGAGGTCTAACTCAGGTGCAGAGGAAATGTTACAGACATTTGGTTTGGTGTAGCTGACAGACTGAAGACATTATTATAAGTGCTGCAATGCATCCGCTGTTGCTTGAAGAGTTTAGAGTTCAAGGTGTGAATAATTTGAGCTGTAAACTGAGATGAAGATGAGCTGAAAAAACATCTTGCTTCTTTATGATGGTAAAGTTAGAGAGTTTAGACTTGCTTCTTTATGATGGTAAAGTTAGAGAGTTTAGACTTGCTTCTTTAAAATGGTAAAGTTAGAGAGTTTAGACTTGCTTCTTTATTATGGTAAAGTTAGATATTTCAGACATGCTCATTTATCACGCTAAAGTTAGAATTTTTATTTTAATATAGAGATGACGCTAAACTGAAATTCAGACTGGAAGACAGGAAAGCTCAGAGCGCTCAAAGTCCTCCTGCTGTTGCCCACAGCAACAGCAATCAGTCAATCACACTCAGCTACAGCCACAAACAAAATCCTCACCTGCAGCAATCAGGCACTACCCGCATCAGCTTCATATCACGCAGAAGCTCCATCCAAGCAGCAGCTTCATTCACGCCGCAACGCTCCTCCTCCCCATCTTCGTCTTGTTGGGCCAACTCCTTCATCCTTCTCCTAGATACCACCACCAGGGTCATCTCACAATCTTTTTCCCCTTCTGCTGTCGTTCAGTGCTCTGCTGGGGTCTAATCGCCAAATCCTAACCACATTCTGTAGCACAATAAATGAAATCTTGAAAATATTGTCCTCAATCATGTGTAATTTCTGTAGTGTCAGATTTCTTGCCAATCAACATTTCTAATACAACGTTTTGTCTTTTTGAGTCTCTCCAGATTGAGTTATTTATCACTTATCTTCTGCTGTGTCAACCTCATTCCTACTGTTCTGCAACACTGAAATTTCCCCATTGTGGGACGAATAAAGGATCTCCTCATCTTAACCAATACTTCCAAATTATGACTTTTCCCTGTTCTGTAGCAGTTCTGTTGTGTGTTGTGCCAAAATTAGGTGCATAATAGTATTAATATAGTATTGTAGAATATACATATGAACTGTACATGTAATTATTTGCACATTTCAATATAGATCTAAAATCGCTTGAGAACTGGGTGGAAACTACAATATGACGTTCTTAGTAAAACTGAGAATATGTACACAAAAAGGACAACTATTGTACACAGACCTTAGAATCTATGCTATTTTATGATCTATACATTTTATATTATCAGCGATGTGAATGTGAACAGATGTCATAAGAGGAAGCGTCTCAAATGCAGAACAAAACAAAATTACTTGAAAGGCGTATGGACAATTATCAACATTTATGGACCTCTGCCCCGTATGGACCAATACCAATACTACGTTTTTTGTTTTGTTATTGTTGCATTTCTGTTTGATTCTTTGATCTGTGATGGTGAATTCAACAGTTTTGTGAAGTCCTCCGTGACAACAAACTGTTGTGATTTAGGGCTATACAAGAATAAATTGAATTTAATTGAATACACAAGCACAGTTATGCATACAAGTTCATTAGTTGAACGTTAAATTTCATTTGAATATACCAATGTCCCTCAAAACAGGTCAATCTTCCTCCCCCCCTTTGCAAAAAAAAAAGCAGTATCTTCCCAAACGCCTCCCCCTTGTGTGTAGCCTCAGTAGCGCGCGTCTCCAGTCTCTATAAACATGTTGACGCTGAAGTCGCAGTCACAGAGTCCCAGCGCGCACAGCAGCACACGGGACCTCCCCAAACGCTCACTCTGTGCCACTTCATCCACGCACCATGTTTACGCGCGGGCCGTTCACTGCTCCGCTGCTCCTCTGGCCATTGCTTTTGTTACGAGTTGAGCATTTGCGCCTTTAAACTCGGTTGTGAACTCCAAATAAAACTTCTACAACAAGTGACGCGCGCAGCCATCGCCACAGCAGAGGCGCGGGGAGCAGACAGACAGGCGGACACTTGGAGCAGAGAGCCGCCGGCGCACCTTCTCGTTAGACCCATGGAATAATCACTATGGAATACCACTGGATACTCCTACCTGTCATTCTACACTTCATCTTTCACCCAGGTAAAGGCGTTATTTCTGTATTTTCATTTTAACATTCTGCCTTTGCTATTGCAACAGGTTGGGTTAATAAATTAAATTGTGATTTTTGTATTTTACTTGATCACATGGCGCATTTTCGATAGTATCTTTGTGTCTAAGATGTGACATATGTAAAGCCCTCTCAACACTTAATAGAGAATGTATACCTATACACTTGGAGAAGTGTAAGTTAAGAGCGCGTCCTCAATAATAAATGCGATGTGCACTGTGGAGCAGCCGTCTCAACTTGTTGAATGGTTTTCCAGTAAGTCGTAACTGGGAAGTCTACCAGTGTCTTAATTCTGTCGACGCTTGCAAATGTTTGGTCAGGGTTTTACTAAGAGATGAAGCGTGTTGGACCACATGAGCAGTAGAAGAGTCCGTGTTTAGGACCATCAGTTACGTCAATCAACACCTGGCTTTATTTTACACTGTCATTCAATCAGTGTTTCACTGTTACAACTGTGTCTGCAGCTTCGTCCCGTGTGTTTTGAGATCCCTCTAGTCAAACCTATGAAGCCGTGTAGATTACGGCCCCTCGCACTCGCAATGTTTGTGATACTCTCCACGTGAGAGCAGGCCATATGTCACTACAGGTCCAGGGCCTGGCCCCCGGCCACAACTGCTACCTGACCGACCCAGCCCGTGGCTTGGAAAAGAACCATTACGGTTTAAACTTTTGCAAATGTTTTCATGTTACGACCATAAACATAAAGGTCTTATTTTGGTAATATAAATTAAGCCTATTAGACAACTGCAAAGTGAATGCCAATGTACACATGATTTTGAAATTGTGCAGAGGCTCAGGTGGTCACTACAAACTGATGCTGCTTTAGGATGTTGCTTTGGTGTTCACGTCCTACTAATAATACTTTCATTATTTTTTTCCAAATAATGATGTCTGTCTGCATCAATATTCTGTCTTTATGTTGGCACACAACTTTAACAGTATTGTACCAAGATAAATGATGCCTTTGACAGACTAATTACATCGAGTGGCTTACATGTGTTTACAACTATTCAGGAGATCTCGTTTCATATTCTGCCTTAGGCTTTGAGAGGCTTTGGAAAACAACAGAAACATGACCTGTTTTTAGATGGACCTTATCCCTTATATTTACTTCCCCCTGGGTTCACAAGGATGTTTACTTTAGTAATGTTTGCACTTTATCTTTTCATTTTCGTTTCAAGTTGAGACAGTCGTTTCTCTCTCTATATTTGTTTTTTTAAATAAAATTTCACAGGAGCTGATTAATTCTAATGTTAGTGGCCTACATGGCTCAGTGAGGGTCCTTCACACTCCCACTGCTGTAGTTGCGGGGGCTGCAGACAACAGACTCCCACTGCGATGGAGGAAGCAACTTATAAGCACATTTTTTGAGTTTTCATATCGGAAGAACACAACACAAACCACCTGTTGACAGTTCAGTTTTCAGATTTTATCTCGGTGATGGCTCGGTTGGTTTAGTGTTGTGTTGGAGCGGAACGTCACAGCGGTCTTTATGAAATGTTATCTTTATGGCATTTTGATCACATAGATAGCCGTACACGCAAGATGGTGTCTGGTGACAGCTGCATGGCATTCAAAGGTCTTATTTGAATTTTGTTATGGTTAGAAATGATTGCTAAGATGATGAGTATTATTTGGACTTCATACCCTGAGGAAGAATGCAAAAGTTTGTATAGTCCGTAATTTATACACAAATTGGCTTGCAACTCAAATTTGTGATTCATTTTCGATTAATCGTTTTCTTCATGATAAATATGTATTTCAGTGCAACTTTTTGAGTTAGACATGGAGGGATTGGGCAAGACCACATGCTTTTATTCATTCAACCTTTATGTGACCAGGAAAATCTGTGAAGTGAAGTTAGGTCACATTGTTTTGTTCATCGGATAATAATAATAATATGAGTAAAACAATTATTGACCAGGACACCGTAGACACAATAAAACCAAGAGCATTACATGGTAGATCTCTTGATAGTGGGTTTTCCTGAGAACCCCATGGTCAGAAATGTACAATTTAAGTTGCTTTAAGTTACTTTAGCTAGTTCGATCTGTAGTCGGAACTTTCTATGTTTTCTTGTGGGTGATGAGTTGTGGAAGCTTTCTAAATGATCTATTTGGAGTTCATTTCTGCCAATAGAATTTTGGGAATGTCAAAAGTATCAAAAATCCCATATCAATCAAAACAAAAACTAGTATTGAGAATAAATACTCATTTCAGAAAGTATTGATTCTGGCCAAAAAAAACCACATAAAAAGGACAATTTGTGAGATTCTCTGCAGATTTCGAAACGATGATTTGGATAAAACATTGTACCATGTAAAAAGAACTCTAAAAATGTTAACATTTCAAAACATGTCAGCTCATTGTAGATAAACTTATTGCGTGGTTATAACTGTGGTATCAAAATTGGCATTCAGTCTATTTCTTATTGTAATATTAGCTGTTTTGTTAAATAAGCTGTATAAAAAAAGTGGATTGGATCCCATAATAATCTTACATCTGCTCTACAGTTGACACCAAGCCATCCATCACCCCAACCACCACCAGCCTGGTCTTCCACTCCCACCTCTCCCTCGGGACGTACCTTGTGGTCGAAATGAACAAACCCTTTGGCCTTCGTTGCCAGGGAGACAAGGTGATGCACTGGATGAGGGAGGGCCGGCCCAAAGTCCGCGGGGAGACGCAGGTGGATGGGATGTCCACGGTGCATGTCCAGCGCGCCCTCCTTTCTCACACAGGACGATACATCTGCTTCGAGGAACTATCCAGCCTCCAAACATCTATCTATGTCTTTGTCAGAGGTATGCTCCCTGTGTTTTTGTATAATGTATGTGTTCGCAGGAATTTAGAAGAAACAGTCTGGGTTTAAAATTACAGACTGCACATTCTTAGATTTAGATCCTACATAATTTAGCTCTACTATCTGTGCTGCTGTTTGTAACTGAAAGGATCCTTTGGTGCTAAGAAAATATTCTCTTTGTTTCTATGTGGGTTTTATGTAAGGGGCAGTATGTTAGATTGTACTTTTTAATCACATCTACACTCTCCCTATAGCTACACTGTCCTCAAACACAATGGTCAAGATGCACAGATCCTAGTAATGCCTAGATTTCTAAATACTGTGGATTAAACTACTATTCCAATCAGGTACAAAACCATGGGCCTGATTTCAAATGATGGAATAGAGTTTGTTGAGTTTTGAATTTGTTTTGCAATCTTTCATTATTGTTTGATTTAAGGAAACTTTTATAAAAATGAGAGCGTCGTTGATTCGTTGAAAAGTGCTGTGCCAGTGGCTATACTCATTCGTGATCGCACATGCTGTTTTTTTATACTATATCATTAAAATTGCCCAAAGATTCAAGGCCAATTCAGATTAAATGTTCCGATTCTTCTCAAATCCGAGTCTGAGATGGAATCTAAATAACCACAATTTCTCAGGATCAAAGCAATCTGGATTTTTGTCAATAGTTTTGAAATAAACGACAGAGCCAAAATCATTTGATTGATTTGAATTTTGCATATTGAACATTCCTATTCTCAAATTTATGACCAGATTTGGGAAACCTGCAACCCACTTGGCTTAATCCTGGTGGATTATCGTGTCTGTTTTGAATTTACTAGTTCCAAGCAAAGGTCAAGTAGTCGGCCAAAAAGAGGAGATGCATTGTACCAACACTGTGGACAGAGCAGAAAAGACATATTTAACACAATGTACACTTGGTTGTATTCAGAGTTGCCCTTTACCTATGTTTAAAATTATGTTTTAAAATAACATTTATTTGTGCAGCACATTTGGCACAATTACATGCAACTCAATGTTCTTAACAACAGGTGAGACTTTGAACCAAATCATGATCACAAAGACAGTAAAATGATGTACAGGAAATACAGAAGGAGGCAAGTGTGTGTTTATCCTCCTCCCTTCCCTTCCAGCTCACCTGCTCTCTTTCTCTTCTGTACTCTCTGTTCTTCAATCAATTAGGCAGACGTCCTTTTTCCCTTCAGTGTTCAACAAACGGAGCCTTTTACTCATACAAAGTTGTTTCTCTCAATCCTTTTACGATGAAAAACACAATTGGACCCATTTTGTAATAAGTGAAGGTGTGAATTGTAGAATCAGGATTAATATCAGACATAAAGATTGGATTGGTGCAAATTAAAGAAGCAGAATGTAAAACTCTGGCTTAAAGTGGAACTGCAACCTCTCCCAGTCTCCCTGACTCAGGTCGCCAGATATGCAGACCAATCCAGCTGGGACCCTAATATCTGAGTATAATCTATAACCAACAAATTTTTCCCAGAGGCTCAATAGAAATCTTCATTGCATTCCTTGTTCTGTCATTAATGATTTGAGATTCACAACAAGACCTTTTTTAGTTCTGCGACCACATGTTACTTTACCAGTGAGATTAGCCCGGCGCAGTGAGTTCTGGCAACCTGGATCACGGACATTCTGATTGGTAAAACAGTGGAGGGTGGGACGTCAAAAAGAAAACAATAACAAGATTTAAGGGCTGTGAAATTCATTTTGAAATCCAAATATCTCGGCTGGATTACTGTTATCAGTTAAAGAAGTATTCGGAAAAGAGCATGATTTATCGATACCTTTTGTCAGATTAGGGACATTTAATGATGACTTCACATGAATATCTTACAAACTGCTACTTTAAACTGGCCTGTCCTGTTACAATTTAGTATTACTAGTTTGTCCTTGGGTTTTTTTCTTTACTATACATGGAGTGGAACATTCACCACTGTGGAAGCTTGGCAAACATTTTAATAGAGATACCGTGTGTGCTGCTAATGTGTGAAAAAGAGACTGCATCCTGTTCTTGTAATAGTGGGGAGACTTTTATGCACATTACTTTAATTCTTGGCCAGATGCTTCAGGAGTCATAAAACTCAAAAAGACTTCTGGCTGTATTCTAATGTCCTACTGTAGATAAGCTTTTCTGAGGATAATGGATTCAAAAGCACGTTTTGCCTGAAGCGTTCCATGTGATCCAGCCATAAACAACCACGTCATGCTATCTTCTATCCACATTGATCAACTTGGCAGATCCTACATAGTTTTTTACAATTTACTGCAATTAATAGGATTGGCCGTGTGACAACAAAGGTCCCGGGATTAAACTTGTGTGGTAGCAGAACATACTTTGATGATGCTGTATTTTTTTAAGTCTACATGTTCAATGAAAAAAAAAAATTGATTAAAGAAGCAGTATGTAACAATCTGGCCAAACGTGGTACTGCAACCTTTTCCACTCTACCTGACTCAGGTTGCCAGATATGCAGACGAATCCAGCTGGGACCATAATAATAATAACGGAATAGAAAAGAGTTTTGTCAACAACAAATCTATAACACCTTTTATTTTTTACAAATATAGACATCCTCGTTTTATTCCTTGTTTTGAGATTAATGACTTGAGAATCCTCGCGAGACATTTTAAATTCTGCTAATCTCACATTTACCAGTGAGATTAGCATGACGCGATGAATTCTGGCAACCCGGATCACAAAGTTTCTGATTGGTAAAACGGTGGAGCGTGGGATATCGAAAATAAAACAATAACAAGATTTAGGGGCTGTAAAACTAATTTGAAATGTAAACATCTCGACTGAACTACTGTTATCAGATGAAGAAGTATTCAAAAAGAGCATGTTTTATTATTGCTTTTTGACAGATTAGGGCCATTTAATGATGACTTGACATGACAATCTTACATATTGCTACTTTAAAAAAAAATTGAATTTTTTGTAACAGTAAGAGGAATACAGTGAGGAAAGCTGGTAAAACTAACATACCAAACACGATAGATGTACAAATTGAGAAGTTAAACAAAGGCAAGACATCAACATTTACTAAACACCTAATGTTCTTCTCTTTGCATATTGTTTTTTCATAATGTCTTATTTTAATTAGCGTGTTGTAGTGTGGGGAAATTGCTTTTAATCTCCTTGTTAAAAAAAAGGCCATCAGGATTGTTTTGAATGTCCACGATAAACTCTCTAATGTACAAAATGTATTCTTTGATATTTTCCTGAATTCAGAACTACTTTAAAATCCAGCGTCTCAGTGCGTAGACTTGGAATGAATTAGCAGATGTTCAAATGATTCAGTTAAAAAAAAGAACGAAGTAAGTATTTGGAAGCAAGAGGGTTATGGCCTCAGCACAGGTGGTCAGAGAGTGTTGAGGCTTGTGTATTGTCTGTTTTGTGTTTTATTAGTAAGGGGGGGGCTGGACCCAAATAAGAGTCTGCTCGTCCAACCCCTTTTCAAACTGTTATTTTTTTATGTTTTGTATCCTGTTGTTTTATTTGCATTGTATCTGTAAGTTTGAAATAAGTTTTGCTGTGCTCCGCAGTGTTTTTGTTGGTGAATTGGTTTGTCTGTAATAAGTTTGATTTTCTCACATCTGTTGCATCTAGCACTGATTCCACGATTGTTTTTTTTGTTTTTATCTGTAGATCCTGACAATCCTTTCAGAAGATCAATAGTGGATAGTATATTAGCTCGAGAAGGAGAGACAGTTACCATTCCCTGCTTGGCAACGGATCCAAGTTTGGAAAAATTGCATTTACAAACCTGCTCCTCGAAAAGCTTGGCCACTGGTCTACAATACAACACCAGTCTGGATCAGGGCATCACCATCTTTCACGCACAGAAGGACTATGAAGGCTGCTACATCTGTAAAGGAACCCTGGGCGATAAAGAAGTCCAGTCCATAAACTACCGCCTCACTGTGAAACCAGGCATGTTTTTATTTTTACAAGTTATATTGTTAAAAGTATGAGTCTGCGTTGGTTTTAGGTGTTTTGGTGTGATTTTAGTTTCCTTGGAGCAGCGGGATTAAAAATGGTTCTCAAAGGGTTCCACTCAATTCACCCCAGTCTTCAGGTTAAGACTTGAGGTCTGGTCTGCTTCTGCTTGGTCGAAATGAAAACCTGTAGCCACACTGGCCCTTTGAGTAGCAGACAGAGACCAAGACCACTGACAAAGTAGTTCATTTTGCATGGAAATATAATTAAATCTGGAGTCCCCAAAAGCAACAGGCTTGTTTAAGATAGATAGATAGATACTTTATTATTATTTATTTTATGTGACATGATTTGAGCCTATTGGCTGGTCATCTCTTTGTCACTGAAAGGTTTTAAGAGCTGGGCTGAGTTACATGGATTTCACTATATAGTCTTTTTGCTATCCAGCTTTAACTACCTTAAATTCATTTTTTGTGTTTTGATTTTCCAGTGCCCCGAGCTAAGCCTGTGATTGATATGCAGTCTCCAAAGCGCTTAATTCTCATTCGCGGTGAGAACCTGTCTCTCAGCTGCAACACGTCCAACGTCAACAGTGACATCAAACTGGAGTGGCTGACTCCACCCGGCTCGGTTAGTGCCTTTTACTATAGACCCCTGTCCTGACCATCTGACACAGCAGATACCTACTATCACTGCGACTCCCATTTGTTTGTGAGATTAAACGGGAGTCTGAACTGACTTGGGAACTTCACATAAATTCACATGCATTCACAAATTTGCAATGAGAACAAATACAGAGAAAATTTTGTGTTGAGAAATGTAATCAGTCTAGGAGTATAGTTGCAGCCGCAGCACCAACAAAATGAAAGGAAGAAGAGTCAAAAGATATAATCAGTCTTGGCAATGAATCCAATTCAAATATTTCTTCCAAAAATAGCCGCAGCTGCCTCAGGGTGCCTTGCAAAAGACAGATTAACAGTAAAACATGTAAAGATCAAATATGACAAAGTCCAAGCTTTTGTTGGAGATCACTTCTGACCACATTCAGCATTTGTAGCAGTCATGCAGTCACTTTTACATCACTTTGTCGTTACTTTTGCTCTGGGGCCATGTTTGCTACATTCACAGACACACACCATAAAACAGTGTTTATCTCATCTATTCATGCGTGTGCGTGTTTCTGTTGGTAAGTGTGCTTGCCGCGCAGAGACGCGTAGACGGGGTTAATCTTTAGAGATCTCTGGGCGTTGACAGGGTGCCGTCTGGTATCCACAGCAACCGGCAGAGGTGAGCACTAAATCTGGAATCGAGATGGAGCCGGTGGAATACGTATGCAGCATTAGCCTGAGCATCAGGAGTGTGAAGCCCCAGGATTCGGGCCGCTATCAGTGCGAAGCCCACAACGAGAAGGGCGTCAGCTCCCAGTCACTCTGGCTCGATGTTTATGGTGAGTGCATTCTGTTGTTTTAAATCCTCTTCTCCCTTCTGACACATTTACAACATTCAGCATAGATATGGTCTTGGATTTAAGTTCCTCACACTTATAGAGGACTGCCTGCCTTTAAACTTAACAGGTGAACTTTTGTTTGCAGAAAAAGGTTTCATTGACCTGACGCCACAGACGAATAAGTCCTATCACGTTCGCTCTGGGGAGAGTTTGACCCTGAAAGTGGACATGGAGGCCTATCCCAAACCACGCAGCTTCTCCTGGTCCTTCAGACAGCATGGCCTCCGCAACACAACCGACCACGTCATCACCACATACTCGCACCAGTACAGGTACAAGTATGTGGAGAGTACATACTGTCTGTCCTAAAGGGTTTGTGTGTATATATAGTCTCTACTATTCCACTGTCGTTTGCTTTCCTGTTTATTGCCTGTTTATGTTTTAGTAATTGTGTTTTGTATTTAAGGATACAGTGTTTGCTCAGTTTTATCTACCACCACTTAGACTAATTAGACTTTTCGACTAGTAATTAGCCCAGGGTTGTGTTCCCTGTCACAGCTCACACATTTTCAGCTCCCTTGGCCCGAGGCGGGCCAAGTGAGGCCAAGTTGAGCTGTTCAGATATTCTCAGCTGCTGATTATTTATGAATTATCTAATCAATATTAGGTGTATATATTCAATACATTGTAAATCCTCTCACAATGAGTCTAAAACTGTTTTATTTTTTAGCACAATATTTTCATCTTGAGTGCTACTATTTCCACTGGTCTCCACTGTACACTGCAACACTAACTCTTCTTCTCTTTGGGATTAAGGTTGTCTTGTCTCATTTTTAAATAACAGATACAAATGGGATGTGTATACAGGGACCAGCAAGATGCACCACAACACTCAATTTAAGTGCCGCACAGGAGCGGCAAAAAGTTCATTATCACCTTTTAGTGAAATGTAACACTGTGCTTTGGAGACGGGTCAGTAGCTGAGTGCAGCTACGTGAGAAATTTGCCTGAAATTTGAAGACGGCTCCAGGGTTTCCATTGAAATGGAAACTGTCAGAATTGGAAGTGCCCTATTACTGAAACCCAGAGTTGTGTCTCAGCTGCATAGTTAGCAATAATCTGCTATTTTAAAACTATTACATTTGGTCCTTGCCTCAGGACATCATTACAAACAAACCAACCATGGTTGGCTTCTAATTGTACAAAGTTCAATCAATCAAGTCTTTTGAAAAGGTCATGTCAGAAAAATTGATTTTACAGAGTTAACCATGCAATTAATGGACTACGGTAGTTAAAAGTTTTATAATAAACTGCTTTGTGTATTTCAGGTTTGTAAGCGAGCTGCGGCTTGTGCGGTTGAAGATAGCGGAAAGCGGTGTCTACACTTTCAAGGCAACAAATGGACACACATCCGTGAACCAGTCATTCACCATCTTCGTCATCAGTGAGTCTAAACGCCTTTCAAAAACTGCATGTTTTATGACATTTTTGGATTAGAAATGCCTCCGCCCTTGAAGAAAATTACAAAAGATGAATTGGATGAGGAGCTGTCCCAGATTATCCAGAGTGCACTGATTCCAGATGCATGTTTCTTTGTAGATGTTTTTAATTTGTAAGTTGCTAAATGTGTTGGATTGATGACCACCAAATCATTTACTGTACACTAATGTTCTTCTCCTAGTATATTGTTTCTTCATAGTGCCTTATTTTAATCATTTCGCAAAACCTCTTAACATCCACCCGCCCGCCGGCAATTTTTAATTTAAAAATGTTCTGCTGGCTCCCCCCTGGACTGCCACTCTCCTCCCTGGACTGCCACCTTAACGTGGTGGGGGAGTTTGAGTACTCGGGTGATCCTGGGAGCTATGCTGTCTGGGGTTTCATGCTCCTGGTAGGGTCTCCCATGGCAGACGGGTCTCGGGTGACGAGTCAGACGAAGAGCAGTCCGAAGCCAACATGGACAGCATGCTATCAAGAACCGTGACATCGCCCCACCCTGGAGCAAGGCCTGGGGTCGGGGCTCGTATGCGAGCGCCTGGTGGCCGGGCCTTAGCCCACGGGGCCCGGCCGGGCTCAGCCCGAAGGGATGACGTGGGCAGTCCCTCCTGTGGACTCACTCCCCGCAGAGGGGTCCGTGGTGGCAAAACGGTGCAGAGAGGACTGGGCAGCGGTTGAAGGCGGGGACCTCGACGATCCAGTCTGCACACTCAAAATCTGGCTCTTGGGACGTGGAACGTCACCTCACTGGGGGGGAAGGAGCCCGAGCTCGTGTGGGAGGTTGAGAGATACCGACTAGAGATAGTCGGCCTCACCTCCACACACAGCTTGGGCTCTGGAACCCAACTCCTTACGAGGGGTTGGACGCTCCACTTTTCTGGTGTTTCTCGCGGGGAGAGGCGGCGAGCTGGGGTAGCCATACTCATTACCCCCCATCTCAGCCGCCACGTGTTGGAGTTCTCCCCGGTGAATGAGAGGGTCGCGTCCCTCCGCCTTCGGGTGGGGGACAAGTCTCTCACTGTTGTGACGGCCTATGGGCCTAACAGCAGTGCAGAGTGCTCGGCCTTCTTGGAGTCCTTGGGATGGTGCACCTACCGGGGACTCCGTTAGTCTCCTGGGGGACTTCAATGCCCAAGTGGGAAATGCCAGCGACACTTCTGTGCTAGTCACAGTTTGTACATCACGAACACCATGTTCGAGCACAAGGGTGTCCACCAGTGCACGTGGCACCAGGACACCCTAGGTCGGAGGTCGGTGATCGACTTTGTTGTCGTATCATCTGAGTGTCTCGGACACTCGGGTGAAGAGAGGGGCGGAGCTGTCAACCGATCACCACCTGGTCGTGAGTTGGATCCGCTGGCAGGGGAGGAAGCCGGCCAGACCTGGTAGACCCAAGCGTGTTGTGAGGGTCTGCTGGGAACAGCTCGCTGAGCCCCCTGTCAGGCGGACTTTCAACTCACACCTCCGGGAGAGCTTCTCCCAGGTCCCAGCGGAAGAGGGGGACATCAAGTCCGAGTGGACCATGTTCTCTTCCTCTATTGCCGGTGCGGCGGCTCGTAGCTGTGATCACAGGGTCTCTGGTGCTGGTCCCGGCGGCAAGCCCCGAACCCGGTGGTGGACACCGGCAGTAAGGGATGCCGTCAGGCTGAAGAAGGAGTCCTATCGAGCCATGATGGTTCGGGAGACTCCTGAGGCAGCTGTCCAGTACCGGCAGGCCAAGCGTGCCGCGGCCCGGGCTGTTGCAGAGGCAAAAACCCGGGACTGGGAGGAGTTCGGAGAGTCCATGGAGCATGACTATCGGTCTGCCTCGAAGAGATTCTGGCAAACCATCCGACGCCTCTGGAGGGGGAAGCAGTTATTTGCCAACACTGTATACGGTGCGGGTGGAGGGCTGCTGACCTCGACTGGGGATATTGTCGGGCGGTGGAAGGAGTACTTTGAGGTTCTCCTCAACCCCCCCGTCACGTCCTCCATCCTGGAGGCAGAGGCTGAGGATGTTGTGGCGGATACTTCCATCTCCCTGGCTGAAGTCACCAAGGTGGTTGGTAGCCTCCATGGTGGCAAGGCGCCGGGAGTGGATGAGATCCGTCCTGACTATCTAAAGTCTCTGGATGTTGTGAGACTTGTCTTGGCTGACACGTCTCTGCAACACCGCGTGGCGATCAGGGGAAGTGCCAATCGAGTGGCAGACCGGGGTGGTGGTCCCTCTCTACAAGAAGGGGGACCGGAGGGTGTGTTCCAATTATCGTGGGATCACACTCCTCAGCCTCCCCGGTAAGGTTTACTCCAAGGTACTGGAGAGGAGACTACGACCGATGGTCGAATCTCAAATTCAGGAGGAGCAGTGTGGTTTTCGTCCCGGCCGCGGAACACTGGACCAACTCTATACTCTCCATCGGATACTCGAGGGTTCATGGGAGTTCGCCCAACCTGTCCAAATGTGCTTTGTGGATTTGGAGAAGGCGTTCAACCGTGTTCCCCGGGGTGTCCTTTGGGGGGTTCTCCGGGAATACGGGGTCCTCTGCTGAGGGCCATCCGGTCCCTGTATGACCGGAGCCAGAGCTGTGTTCGCATTGCCAGCAGTATGTCAGACCGGTTCCCTGTGCATGTTGGCCTAGGCCAGGGCTGCCCTTTGTCACCGGTTCTGTTCAATGTGTTTATGGACAGAATTTCTAGGCGCAGCCACGGGTCGGAGGGGGTCCGGTTCGGGGACCACAGGATTTAATCTCTGCTGTTTGCGGACGATGTTGTCCTGTTGGCTCCAAAGAACCAGGACGTGCAACATGCAATTGGACGGTTTGCAGCCGAGTGTGAAGCGGCTGTGATGAGAATCAGCACCTCCAAATAAGTGCCTTGCCCTCTCCGGGTTGGTGGGGAGGTCCTTCCTGAAGTGGAGGAGTTCAAGTATCTCGGGGTCTTGTTCACAAGTGAGGGAAGGATGGAGCGTGAGACTGATAGATGGATCGGTGCAGCGTGCGCAGTGATGCGGTCGCTGTATCGGACCGTTGTGGTAAAGAGGGACCTGAGCCAAAACGCAAAGCTCTCAATTTATTGGTCAATCTTCGTTCCCTCCCTCACCTATGGTTATGATCTTTGGGTAATGACCGACAGAACGAGATCGCGGATACAAGCGGTCAAAATGAGCTTCCTCCGCAGAGTGGCTGGGCGCTCCCTTAGAGATAGGGTGAGGGGCTCAGTCACACGGGAGGAGCTCGGATTAGAGCCGCTGCTTCTCCACATCGAGAGGAACCAGTTGGGGTGGCTCGGGCATCTGTTCCGGATGCCTCCTGGACGCCTCCCTGGGTGTTCCGGGCACGTCCCACCGGGAGGAGGCCCTGCGGAAGACCCAGGATACGCTGGAGGGACTATGTCTCTCAGCTGGCCTGGGAGCGCCTTGGGGTCCCCCCGGACGAGCTGGAGGAAGTGTGTGTGGATAGGGAAGTCTGGGCGTCTCTGCTTAGACTGCTGCGGAAGAAGATGGAATGGAATGGAATGGTTCTGGCAATAGCAGATGCATTTTGAACACCAAACCCCAAAAGCTGTATATCATTTTAAATGTTATTTTCTTATCTACATTTATATACAAGTGTAAACTACATCAGACTTTGCATTCAAAAGATATAACACATAATATGGGCACAAAATAAATCACTTGTGCTGCATAAATAAATAAGATCCCTTCCCTGCTTCCTATAGCTCTTTCACTCCGTAACTGTCCATTGAAAGAAGAATGAAAAAGAATATCCACTTGTATTTCCCAAAGTATCATCCATTCTGGAGAAATAATCCAAAAATGTGCATTTATCTTTAGCAAAAAAAACGAACAAAAAAAGAGACTTTCACTGTTAGCGGACCTTTAGCTTTATTTTTCACCCACAACCAGGGTATGCTCGTGTTCCCCTCGTTAGCTACAAAATGAGACCTTCCATGAAGAGATAGGTTCCTGCGTTAGTCTGCAACAGGCCCGTAAAGAAGACAAGCAAACAACAATTGTGCATGGCCTGTGTGCATTTGTTGTTAGCCAGACGGCTATCTTTGGCCAAATGATTGACATGTCCGTGTAGCCAATAAGGAAAGCTTTCTAGCAAGGGGTGTTACATTGTCAGTACAAGCGTGCGCAACAGCAGGGAGAGAGATCGCTCTCGAACAGTGCATATAAAATATATATAAAATAAATTTTGAATTTGAAAAAAATGAAATCACACAGATTAGTAAAAAATATGGTTTTTATGATGATGAAATGTCAGTAAAGCAATTTGGCACAATTTGTCACAAAGTGTGCCAATATACCACAATATTGAATATTGTGATCTTACAGGGAAGTATGCCTTTTTTAGGGCCTTTAGAAATTGAAAATTTTAGGCGAGGCTAAAAAAAAAAGATTTTTTCCCAAACTTTAAAGGATGCAGAGTGAAATAGGAATGACAAACATTATTTTAGTGTATATTTACATAAACTAGAAGGCTCTAGCTTTAATATGATGCATCACACAAGCATGTGACATTTAAGATGTGTTTTTAAATACGCAAAGGACATTTGGGTATGCCCAACTTTTGTGCACAAGCCAAAATGAGGCGGGCATTGGTAAAAAAAAGAATAAAAAAATTAAATAAATCTTCTCTACTGTAGATGTTACACCGTTCAGACTTTGCCCTCATCCTCCACCAACTGAAGAAAATGACAAAAGAGGCAGAACTCTGGGATCGTGTCACAGCAGAAGACATTTTATTGTTTGTACACTAAATGGTACAATGTGTCTTATCTCAAGACGGAGAAAAATAAATGTATGAACCAAAAAAGTTTGTACTTAACCTGTAAAAAAATTTTTTTTGAACTTTGTGGACACAGTTGTTACATATAGGACATGTCATGTTGAAGGCTTTGTGAATGGAAATTAATTAACAGGACGGGGAAGACTATTTAATGGCTAATGGTTGGGGATACAAGGTCCTGGGTTCAAATCCCGGTCGAACTCTTTCTGCTCCCCCTCTCTGCATTCACGAAGCTTTAGTCCCCCCACTACCCCCCACCCACTCAGCCTGTGCTCACGTGCTAGTTATTTGTTTACGGAGCTCACGTCTCACAATATGGATCGCACATTTGAACGTGGATGGCGTGACCATAGAATGATTGAACCGGGAAGCGCGGAGGAACGAGACTTTCTTTTGGGTGGCTGTTTTGCCGTGTAAGCTGTAACCGGTAACAAAGACACGGGAAGCTTCAGGTTAGCCTCCGCCGCTTGTTTACCTCAGCTGTCTGTGCTAACGAGAGACCTGTAGCTTTTCTCAAGAAAGTGGGGGCCAGTGGTCCGCTGTGATTGGTCACGATCTGGTCCCGAATCACATTCTCTTCCTTGTTGCACAAAAACTCGATCTAAAATAAAATGTCACGCCAGCACAAACCTGCGCTATTTATTCTTCAAAAGGACGAATATCCCAATGCACTGCACGGATATGGATTGCATTTTCGTAGTGAATACAAAAATAAAGTGAGGTAATGCAGCTTTCAGCTACTCGCTTCCGTCATCACCTTGTGTGGAGAGAATGGCCAACTATCTGAACTCTGAACAATTGTAAAGCACTTTGGGTGACCTTGGTCTGTAAAAATGCGCTGTATAAATAAACATTACTTACTTCCTTTACAAGATACAACAAGATACAAGAATGTATTTGTTTTTTGCAGTAAAACCACATTGGAAAAACTGTGCAACACTTCCCCAGTGTGTACATATAATCAATCTCTAATTATAGATTTTACCTTATGCAAAAAATATGATTCAATAACTGCAGACAAACTGGGCGTTTTGGACATAACACTTCGGACCCACTTATTGTTACGTCCAAAACGGCGGTATAGGCGTGAACGAATCAGTGTTTAAGTAGTGTGCCTTTCACTGGACAAACAAGCTGGAAAAAAAACAAGAGTGGGTGCTGTGATCTTTTGGCAGTACCGGCCGCGGACATTTCAGGACTTTTTTGTGTTATTGACCCAAATGTAACACATTGGTACCGTTTAGTGTGGAGTGAGCCATTCATATGTCAGCTTTGATTTGCAGACAAGTTCAGCTTTAACATAATTGCATCAAAAGTGTCATAACAGATCCATACCCTGACCAATTCTGTGTGTAATTTCATGACTGTACATTACAAGCTTTTCGAATGATTTTGTTTTCCAGGTAAACCAGAGATCGTCGCGCACATGGGCCCAGTGAATGGTCAAGTGCGCTGTGTTGCTGAGGGATTCCCTGCTCCACGGATCACATGGTTCTATTGTGAGCAGTCATACGTGAGGTGAGCAGACGTCATCTTCCACAACAACCATCCCGTTAAGTGTGTATTATTATTTATATTTATGAGGTGGAAAACATTTTACAAAATTGATGATATCGCAGTCGTCGTTTCAAAGATATGAAACGCCATGAGTATTGACTGCACGTATTGTATATTATGTTTAGTCTTTTCAACACAGCAATAACTGCACAACACTTTGTTATAATGAATGCGCTTGGGGATTAAGGCAAGGCAAGTTTGTTTGTATAGCACAGTTTATACACAAGGCAACTCAAAGTGCTTAACAAAACAAGATAGACAAGGCATTATAAATAATCACAGTGCAAAAGAGTGAAGAGAGATCCTTCAGTTGTGCGCACAGCTGAACAGAACTGTTTTAACCTGCATTAGAACATTGTCTGAGTTGTGTCATAGATGTTGTGATTGGTGGCGGTCAAAAGTACATTGTACATCGACTTATATTACTTATTATTTAAGTAATAAAAGTCATGTGGTGCCTATTGCGTGCTTTACTTTGGCTTAGCCCCTGGTGTATGTATTCATATATTATAGTGTTAAGCTGTTGACATTTTGATGTATGTTATAATATATAGCGTGAATATTAGCTTATCAAAAAGACTACATTTACTCTTAAAATATGTTCTATTTGCATAGCACACAAAAGGCTTTTCAGCAATACTTGTGTGTTTACCCTAAATGGGTTGGTGCTTGCATAGGCAAGACCAGTTATAAATTAATCTGACAGTTTCAGTTTGGTATTTGCATTTTATGTCGTAAAGCATAACAGTAAAAGAATAAAAACAGAATATGAACAATAGGAGGTCATGTCTCAGACTGCCAGAATACACAACAGGTCTGAAGGAATAGAGAATCTGAGACATGAAAAGTCTGTAATGTGGCCATAACTCTCTTAGATTACATATTGTTTCCTCTTAAAAGCACAGTAAACAAACCTGTTGTGTACAGGGCGGTGTGGGCGGGGCATATTGCAGTGAATCATAAGTGATTATCCCAACGTTTAGATGACAATGAATCCAATTAAGTCTTCCGGGTGAAACAGGACGTGGCGTGACCTGGGTTAGTTTATGACCTGAGAGCAACCGCATGACTTTATTACTTCAAAGGTACAGGATTTTACTTTAGTTTAATCTGAGGGAACTTCCCACCTACAGTATTTTTATTTTATTTTCAAAAGTTGGCAAGGAGATCAAAACATTCTAAAACTCCCATGCTCATGTTCCCCCTTCATGAATGAAAAAGCTTCCTCCCTGTTGAGTAACAACATGGTTTGACGGTGAGGGATTCCGAGGGGGTGATTTATGGCGTGTGTTTTGTGTTTGACGCTTTAGGTGTTCGCAGCAGGTGAACGCCACGCAGGAGGAGCAGAATGTGATCACGGTGACGGTGCTGAGCCCTCTGTTCGGGAAGTCTGAGGTGGAGAGCCGCGTGAACGTGAGCCGCGGGCGCTTCAGTACGCTGGAGTGCGTGGCCACGGCGGAGGGCGAGCAGGCCTACATGCTCTTCTCTATCAGCGGTGAGCAGCCGGGCGAGCGTGTGCTGGGTTTGACAAGATGGTATTTATGCATTTAGTTGTGGATTCGGTTTGATTTTCCCAGATCAAATCAAGGTTTTTTCTGGTTCTGGTTTTATTCTTTCATTTGTTAAAAAAGTTTGATCCAGCGTCATGAATATTAGCATGACACCTGATCATGGTGTCATGCTAATATTCATATTCACTAGCATCATATGGCATGTTATTGATCAAGAAAACAACCAATAGTTATTAATAGTTAAATAAACATAATTATACAACGATATTTAATCATCATAATGATCATTGGTACAATAACAAGCCTTTTCAGTTTTGGTTCTATCCAAATATAACAATGTATTTTGTTGAAAAAAAAAAAAGAAATCCTAACTTGTGTTAAATAGAAGTAATCCTCAGGCAACAAACCTCCATGATGTAAAAAATACACACACACACACACACACACAACTCCTGAGCCAAAGTGTCCCATGGACTGGTATGAGCACCACCTGACGTCATCAGGAAACCCTTAACAACACAGAATGTGATCACTGCTTTATCAACCAAATCAAGACACAAATGGACATAAAATACATTCAAGAATCAGCCAAAGTTCCTGCATTATCGTGTATTCAAAGCAAGTGTTTAGCCAAGATTTTAAAATGCCAAAGTGTAAAATGGTGTGCTCGTGTGCAATTCAATAGCAGGTTTCTAGTTTGTTTTCTCCACCATTTCCTGCAGTCGTGCCTCGTTGGTGCAGTCATGGGGCTACAATGATTGTTCTTGAAGTCATTTTTCTCAATCCATTGTTTACATTCACTGTTTGCAGTACTCTCTCTGAGCTCAGTCCTTTTGGATCAAGAGTTGTTTTAGTGATAGTATAGTCACTACACTATCACTAAACTATCACTATACTATAGCGGCTCAAAGACTTCCTATTTTGGTTTATTGTGTTTCTAAGTCTACCTACTTATTTACAGTTGACTGAATGATATAGACCTGACATTATGAAGAATAGGGAGACCATTTTGGTTTGTTGGTCTATTAAGCTGATGATGAATTAGAAAAAGTATGTAACCCTGAAGCTGTATAAAAGATAGAGGACTACTGAAATCCGTAACAGGAATCGATACAAGAATTGAATGGGAAAAGGAAGGGAAAGGGTGTCATGAGCCAGGTCGCAGTATGGAATATGGCAGTTCACATCAGGCGTTTTCCTGGTTTAGCTTGTTTCACTGTTTTTGAGCGTTCCTCTCCTTCTGACCTGCCTGTGACCTCTGCTCACTGATTGGTGGCACCACTTCTTCCCTCAGCATTTGACCGTTTTTAACTTTTTCAACACTGAAATTTCCCCACTGTGGGACAAATAATAATCTCTTAATCTTTTGTCAAAACGCCTTAAAGACACTGGCGCAAACTGCCATTGACTTTGCATCTCTGTTTAGTTAGAATGACACTAAACAACTTGAGACTGTAAAACACTGGAGTACACATTACAAAAGGATGTTTACGAGAGTTGGCAACTGTTATTTAAGGATTTTAAGATTTATTAGTTTTATGTTGTTGGCTTAAATGTGCCTGTCAACTGCCAGTGACTCCAGCCAGTAGACTAAGAAATCTGATCTTGGCTATCCTTTTGTGTTCACACAACTTTGTAAACCCCAAATGAGATTTGTTTCTTGGCTCACAATATTTACTAAAAGCATGTTTTGGCAGGGTTCAGCCCATATATGCACTGTCACAATCTCTAAAGTAAACATGAGTAAAGAGATGGGCAGAGTTGATTGGCTGAAATAAGATGTCACTGATAGCCATTATCTCATGCCATTGTTTATGGTCTGTCTCTAAATCTCCTCTAACGGCTTCTCCATCTGCTTTACACTGTATCCAGAGAGGAGTGTGGCGAGGGAACTCAGAGTACCTAGAAGGCTGATAAGTCGAGGGGTCATGCAGGACACTGGGATGGGGTTAGTGTGTCGATAGATATGTAAGCAAGCATTAAGTGATTGTGTTGAGTCCGCTTCAGAGTATGTAAGGGACAGCCTCTGCTCTGTTGGTGGGAGCTCCAGGACAGTGGGGGGCTGGAGGTGTGGGCGATGAACACAATACACGGCTCTAGTATCCACTGACAGCTTTAGCGCAGATTAGTTCCTGCAGACTCTGCATTCTCAGATTCGAAGTGGATAGAAAGCTTCTTATCTCTAAAGAGCTTATTACACCCCGCTGTACATTAGGAGCAAAACAATAGGGCATCAGGCCAATTCAAAGGAACAGGACACTGTTTTCAAATGAGATGACATTCTTGCTTTTGTGCAAAAATAAAGGTAATGCAAAATTTGCGTTGGTAAGGATTTGACGTATGGAATCTGCAAAACACAATGCATATATGTTGAATTGGATTAGAGCACTGTGACCTGACCATAGTGGGTGTTAAGCTTAATTAACCCCTTGTTGCTAGCTTTGTCCACACCCAATGCTGAGCCGGTCATTTTCGCAAATAATTATTTTAACATCATTGCCACAAGTTATGATTACTGCTTAACATCACAAATTCCATTAAATGCATTAATGCTTTACATGAAATACAACATAACTCAAGTGTATCTATAAATTCAATTCAATGTATTCTTGTTTAGCCCTAAATCACAACAGTATTATCTCAGAGGACTTTACACAACCGTTGAATTCGCCAACACAGATCAGAGAATCACACAGCTCAACACAAAAACCATAGAACACATATGTATTGGTTCATAGGGAGAGACCAATGTCCATGAATGTTGTAGAATGCTAGAGTGTTCCGGATCATCACCACAGTCCTTTTTTTGTTTTTTTTTTGGCCGAAATTGGATCTGGCACCTCTGCAAGATCAAAACACATTATATTGCATGTTGGGTAGAGCATTGACACTTGCGTAGAATTTAGACAGTTATGTAACTTACAGGTAGGTTTTAATAGTCTTTCTGTGGCATAGACCTCTCGATCATGGTTGGCAAAAATAGATATAATGGCCTATAAATAGAACTCTCCGGATTAACTCTGCTGCTGCATTCTGGGATCTCCGTTGTACAAATTAAGCACTGTGCATCGGCAAGGTTAAACTCTAAAACCCAGTGTAAAGCACAATTTAGGCAGTGCAACCTAAAGTGCTTTACACGGCATACTGTACAATCATACACATTAACAAATATTGTAAAACATATGAGGTAAAAAATATCATAAAATAAAAACAACGTCACAATTAAAACTCAGTATTAAAGCTCAATATATAAATTACAACAGCTAAATAGAATTCTTTTCAGCCTGGACTTAAAACAATGACTGAGATAAGGCCTCCCATACATATTTAGGGAAGACTGTTCCAGATTCGAGGGGCATACACCTGAAATAAATTAACAAACTGTGTAACAAAGCCCTAGAAAGCATAGACACAGAAACTCAAAAATCTCTGGCCAGCAATTTTTGGTCCAAAAGTTAAAAAGAAACCTAATATTTCTTATACATTTCTTAAAATTGAAATACTTTTTTAAAATTAGCAGACTTGGCAAAACCCCCATGAATACTTAGATCCTGTAGCTACAGTATCTCCATACAGCAGCTGCTACTATACTACTATAATTGTTATTTGACCTAAAATCAATGTTCTGCTGTTTTGCTTGCAGAGAAGAGAGTCCCTCATGATTTGTTCGCGCCCTTGCTCATTGGCACAGCGTCAGCAGCGGCATTCCTCTGTCTGGTCCTCATCGCGCTCTTCTACAAGTACTTAAAGGTAAAACGATCATATTCACAACCATACGGTAAAAGATTTATAGTAACAAATGCCTCTCCACAGAAACCCAAATATCAGATCCAGTGGAAAGTTATTGAGGGCGTGCACGGAAACAACTATGTGTATATTGACCCCACCCAGCTACCGTACAATCACCAATGGGAGTTTCCACGGAATAACCTGCAGTTTGGTAAGTCACTCATGGGGAACGATGTAACAGAGTAGATGCTTAGGTTTGGGGGTTGTATAAATAATAATCGTCAAAAGATCTGTATCTGAAGTGACAGACATCATGTGACAGCAGCAGTGTGTGGGGCTCAAGCAGAGCGACTCTCACGCGTTTAAGAGAAAGAACATTTCTTCTCTTCACGCATGTATCTATTTCACATGGTTTTCAGCTTTAATATTAGACTCAATTTAAACGCTTGTCTTTGCTATTATCCTCCCCCCTCTCTTTCTCATGCTTTTGATCGTTATAATCTAAGTTTCAGAAACAAAACAACTTTTTTTGAAACACAGCATGGCTAATGTAGCACACAACACTTACTCGTAGAAATATAGCTCAAGCAATATATTTTATACAATTGTGTCTCTGCATCGGAAGCAGATTCATTGAGACGTATCCATAGATGATGCATTTTCTTCCGTTTTATCTGTTGCAGGAAAGGTAGAGTCATGCAGACTTCCTTCTCCTTGCACACTTTCTCCAGTTTATCAGTTTATCAATGGAATCCCAGAGTTTTCCCAGGCTAACTGAGTTAATTAGATCTGTCATTCATAAATCAAAACATAAGCCAATATACAAGGCGTATTGTGCTCTAGTCTGTCCCTGATCAAAAACATTCAAACATTCAAATATCGTATCCTGTCATGACCACAGCTTGTCCCGACATTCTAATGAGATAATAATCAGAAATACTGGTTGTCCAATAGTATTTTACCAGTCGTCACAAGCCTGCGATGTTATTGCTCTGCTGCGACTGATAGACACTGTTTACATTTTCCCGCTTCAGTAACTCATGTCACTGGTCAGTGCCTTAAACCGGTTCCACAGTCGGTGCCATCCCTTTGTCGCTGTTGATTCTAGGTGCAGTTGTTTTAGTTAAGCTTCTCTAACAGGATCCAGCGCGTCCAGGTGCTACATTAACCGCCTCAAGGCACAAACGGATCTCTCTAGAACATGGCTCCCTGCCAGCTACTGGGAAAAGGCCGCTCCTTAACATCTTGGTATTTTCATAGGAAAGACTTTGGGATCTGGAGCTTTTGGAAAAGTGGTGGAGGCAAGAGCGTACGGCCTCTCCAAAGAAGACTCAGTCATGACTGTGGCAGTGAAGATGTTGAAATGTAAGAACACACACATACACATTTATTTTTTGACATTTTTTTAGGCCGGCATGGTGGAGTGGATAGCACTCTCGCTTCTCAGCAAGAACGTACTAGGTTTGAATCCCAGTCAAAACAGGGTCTTTCTAAGTGGAGTTTGTATGTTCTCCCCGGGTCTGTGTAGGTTTCCTCCGGGTGTTTCAATTTCCCTTACCATTTAAAACATGCACAATAGGTATGAATGTAATGAGTGAGTGAATGGATGGTGTTCATTGGAGTTTTTTACGCTCTCGCTTGTATAAATAAAGTTCATACTTAGTTACTTACTAGAAATCCAAACACAGACCTGTACTCACTACTAACTAACCTACTTTGTAAAATTGAGAATAGAAATAAATATTGGTACAACTTCAACTCAATTCTATGTAATCTTGCATGGCCCTAAATCACAACAGTAGTTATCTCGATCAGAGATCACAGATCAGAGAATCAAACAGTTCAAACTCAAGAAATGCAACGATAAAAACACACAGAGCCATTGGTCCATAAGGGGCAGATTACCAATGTCCATAAATGTTGTTGAATGTTGAATAAGTACAAACAAACACACATAAGTACAATACACATCTTACATTATCACGATATACGAATCTTTATATTTTCGTATTTTCTGCAGCAAGCGCACATTCCACAGAGAAAGAAGCGCTGATGTCTGAACTGAAGGTGCTGAGTTACTTGGGGAACCACATGAACATAGTCAACCTGCTCGGAGCGTGCACTGTTGGAGGTGGGTCACTTCTGCTTGTTCTTCTTGTTGAAACTTGCTTCTGTTTGTTTGTTCTTTGAGGAGCTCATTACATTTGAGTGACACTTGTAGCCGTTTTTGTTGTATGAGATCGTTACCTGAGGCGTGTTTATTTGCCCGCAGGTCCCACATTAGTGATAACAGAATACTGCTGCTTTGGAGACCTGCTCAACTTCTTGCGTCGGAAACAAGAATTTTTCATCTGTTACAAGAACGAGGAGGACTGTTACTATCACAATCTGGTGCTGCAGCGAGTGGCTAATGGGTAAGGGAAATGTCTTTTCTTAGACTTTGCACAAACCAGTAATTGCCATATGTCAGAGTAACCTTTGAGTTTGTCTAACCTGGTATTATCCTGGCGTTGACCTGGTCTTGCTCTAGTCTCCAGTTAACCTCATTCTACTAGAATTTTGTTCTGGATTGGCTCATAGATCCCCGTTCACACATATCAAAGTGTTCTGGATTCACTTCAGAAGCAGTCCTCATAACTTGACTAGTGGACAAGGCAGACTTGTAATGTGGTTTCATATTCCTGCAAATGCCAGACGTGAACCAGAATTGGTCCAATTAAAGTGAACTCGGGACTATGTGTGAATGCGCTTTTAGATTCTTCTTTGGAGAATGGAGAATGCACAAAGAAAGTGCACCCTGTCTATTCTTCACTGAATGTGATGAGGACTGTTGTGTTTTTTTCTGAAGTGAACCGAGACCACTTGAATAAGTGTGAATGCACCATGGAATTTTTCTGTCCCTTCTTTTAATGTACTTGTTTGAGCTGCTGTGTCCAAATCTTTCCTTAGTTGTGGATTGATTACGGATAAACATTGCAATTTAAGTGACAATTTCAACCGTAAAATGTCAGCAAAAATCATATGACGGGTCACAGCAGCAGAGGTGGAGTAACCGCTGGGTGGAGCAGGACAGGTCGAAAGATGGAGTAGCCGCTTGGTTCGGACCATTATCTCTGCTCTAGTCCAAAGTTAAAATGCTAAATGCTTCATTAGTATTTCTCAAAAAGTTAGCATTCCTCCAATGGATTTTCACCTGATCCACTTGATTCACCATGAATCCTCTCTGCTCTGGTCTGGACCAGTGTAAAACCATGAATCCTCTCTGCTCTGGTCTGGACCAGTGTAAAACCATGAATCCTCTCTGCTCTGGTCTGGACCAGTGTAAAACCATGAATCCTCTCTGCTCTGGTCTGGACCAGTGTAAAACCATGAATCCTCTCTGCTCTGGTCTGGACCAGTGTAAAACCATGAATCCTCTCTGCTCTGGTCTGGACCAGTGTAAAACCATGTACACTGCACTGCAGCAACACCTCAGGTAGAAAAAAGCAAGAACAATAAAAATTATAAAGCACAAAACAACAACTGTTTCAGAGCTACTTAGGACTTGCAGCTGTTTCCAGCTCATTCAAAAGTAAATATGCACATGATGTAAACTTTGAACCCAAAATAAACAATACTATTCAACGGTTTGTAAACAACGCCGCAAAATTCCTACTGTTCTGTAACTTGTGATGCAATACTGAAATTTCCCCACTGTGGGAAGAATAATACGTATTTATTGTGAGAGGCTTATCCCTAAAATGTCCTTAAAAGTCTGTAAAATAACTTCTATAGCTGAAACCATAAACTTCCTTGAATCAGTGGTAAATAAGGGCACAAGTAGTAGTGGTCGTAGTAGTAGTAGGTGGTGTTTATCCCCAGACCGTGCGTAGGTTTGGCTTTTGGACGCGGCGTTTGGAGGATGCTGTGCTTTGCTGAGACAGACTGCTCTTTTCCCTCTCGCAGAGACAGCTTGAACGGCTACATGAGCATGAAGCCTTCTGTCGCTGGCACGCACCCGCTAACGTCCAAGAAGAGGCGCTCCATACGAAACGGCAAGCCACTCATTCCCTCACGTGTGTAATGCTTCTGGCAATACGTTTATTTATATGTTGGGTTTGATTGGCAGGTGGTTCGTACATTGGGGCAGATGAAGAAAGCGAGTGTTTTGATGAAGATGGTCTGTCTCTGGACACCGAGGACCTCCTGAGCTTCTCGTATCAGGTCGCAAAAGGGATGGAGTTCCTGGCCTCCAAAAATGTAAGCATTAATCTCAATATATTCCATGTTGAAGCAGGAGGGTCTGTTAGACTGTTAGAGGGTCTATCTAGAAGGATGATGGTGATGATCCAGGCCGCTCAACTCAAAATTCATCAACATTATAGATTTATGGATTTATCATCATTTATGAACACTGTCATCGGCCCCTTTTGGACTGATGGCTCTATTTGTTTTTAATGGCAGTTGAACTGTTAATTCTCTAATCTGTGTTGGCAAATTAAATGGTTTCGTTAGGTCCTCCGAGATAAGTACTGTTGTAATTTAGGGCAACACAAGAATACATTGATTTTAGTTTCTATAGGCCAACTAACTGGTCATCACTAACCACAGCACAACGGTTTCATCCAAAAACATTTAATCACTGCAAAGTTTTGTTGTAATTTATGTTTTATGTCTGAAAAAAAACACCAAATACAGTATATTAATGTGGATCTTGTAGTCATTACAAACCAGATATCAGCCCCAAATTCGGGGGCCAAACATTTTCAATGTTTTCTAACAATTAATCCTACTCCTGGAACCTGGTGGACTGCCAGTTCCATGTCCTTGATTCTCCAACCCCTCACAAGAATGAAGTTGTGTATTTTTTGTATTAATTCACGAAGTTTTGATGATAGACCATCGAAAGCAAACATGTAAAACTCAGGCCCCTGGGCCAGATTCGTCCCGCAAGACAATATTTAGTGGCCCCTTTATCGCTGTAACTTGCAGCATTGATGGTAAGGGCTAAGGATGCACCAACACCAGTACTGGTATTGGGTATCAGGTAGCGGCAAGTGGATGTTGGAATTCCCAGGGATATTACATTGCAGTACTCGTATCGGTATTCGGTATCGGCAAGTACTGCAATTACTCAAACTCGTATCAGTTCTCAAAAAATTGGTATCGGTGCATCCCTAGTAAGGGGCTACTATGGCATGTTGTACTTTATTTTAAAGCCTACCAACTCAGGAAAACAAACATGATTTAATCTGTTGTAAAATGTAAAAAAAATGTAAGTTGAAGTTATAGTTAATTAATTGTTATTTATTTGTTAAACTATCACTCTTCAAATACGTCTCTCGTTTCTCTCCTACTAGAAAATAATGTATGATCATTTACTGCATTGTAAAAAAAAAAATCATATTTTTAGTTCTACGTTTATAAGCGGTGTCCATCGCCTGTGGGTATTGGTGATATTGCAAACTCAATACAAATGTAGCGTTCCTCACAAAGAACAGATTGTGTTTCCAGGGCTAGTAAAAGAATCTAAAATGCATGTCAAAGCATGCTGTTGAAAAATTAATCACTTGTCGAGGCTGAGATACTGCGCACACAAAGATCGCATGTCAGTGTCAGCGTCTGGGATCTGTGTGAGGACTGGAAATGCAGCGGTCAGGAAAAGGCCTCGTACTCCGCACTGGTTACTGCATGTTCAAGGTTTGACACAAGTCTGGATCCACCAGCACCAGTGAAAATGAGATCATCTATGTTGATATTAAATGTTCCTGTTCAATTTGTGTTTTGTCATTAAACCATTTCTCCACTAAAAATATGGGGACACACATAGTACTTTTGTAAACACAAGGGAGAACCTCTTTTTGTGCATTTCATATCCCTCCCATTAACTACTAACCAAATGTTGACGTACTACTATTTTGTCCCAGTCATTTTTGTTTGTTACTGTATCTTCTGTCTTAACCTTGACTTACTGGTTTCAATTGTGCTGGAAATCACGTCTTTAAAAACAACTATCTGCAACCATTCTATTTGCAACTATCCAAAAGTTAAGTCAAAAAATAATATCTTGGGTCATTGTGTGTTCCAGTGCATTCACAGAGACCTGGCTGCCAGAAACATCCTTCTTACACAGGGGAGAGTGGCTAAAATCTGTGATTTTGGTTTGGCCCGTGACATCACTACAGACTCCAACTATGTGGTCAAAGGAAACGTAAGTCACAAAGAATTATAATTACATAATTGTTCACCCTATTCCCTTATCAATTGGCTGAGGAGAAAATAAGTGGATGAATGTGTCTGGTTGCTGCCTTGCATGTCCAAACACATACTGCACATGTGCTCTTTCTATGGAAAGAGTAAGTGACACTGGTGTGGTTCTGCTTTAGGCCCGTTTGCCAGTGAAGTGGATGTCTCCAGAAAGTATTTTTGAGTGTGTCTATACTTTTGAGAGTGATGTCTGGTCCTATGGCATTTTGCTGTGGGAAATCTTCTCTTTAGGTAAGTGTGAATATTTGGTTTATTTGTTAGCAAAAATTCAAGTCTTTAATTTCAGTGGATCTTTTTACATGGCAGGAAGCAGCCCGTATCCAGGGATGCCTGTGGACGCCAAGTTCTACAAGATGATAAAAGAAGGATACAGGATGAACGCCCCAGAGTTTGCACCCAATGAAATGTGAGAGAAAGTTTTATTTAAAGTCTAAAACTGAAACGAATTTGTTGAAATGAATAAAAGCAAACATGGATAACTTGACCAGGACTGACCTGAGGACCAGACTATGTCTAAAACATTATTCTACACGGCTGTAGGACTAAAAAAGAATCACATTATCTGGAATTCTTCATGAATCTTGAAGTTATTAACTTCTTTGAAAGAATGTGTTTTTGAACTAATTGAAAGCATGTGTTTTGTGTTGTACAGGTATCAGATTATGTGGTCGTGCTGGGACCCTGTCCCCGTTAAACGGCCCCCCTTCACGAAGGTCGTGGAACAGATCGAACAGCAGCTTTCAGATGCTACTAAACACGTAGGTTCCTACCTCACCAACGGTTCCACTTTTGGTTCCACTTGTATTACATCATATATTTTGAAATAATCTGAAACAAATGTGTCATAATTGAATCATTCAAAATGAGTTTAATAAACATTTTAACACATGTTTATTCCTTTTAAAAGGCAGATATCATCTGCAGAAAATCACATTAGCTCTGTGTTGTGTTTGGCCAAAAGTGAAGTTCAGATGTTCTTAATGTTATCAGATCATTTATTTACCAGTACTTAGTCTTTACAAGGCTGATGCAGGATTTGGGTCCATTCCAGTGGAGAGAAGGCCTGAGGCAGGGTACAGGATCGACTGCACTGGACCAGTGCCAGTATACCACTGAGAGATCATTCACTAAAATCCCACAGGCAATTTAGACGACCAGTCCACACAGTAACAAGTGTCTTCAGACTGTGGGAAGAAACTGAAGACTTGTGGCTGGTCAGGACACTCCAGTCAATAGAACCCCGCTGTGAGGCCAGATGCTTAACACACCACAATGGATCTCTGTCATATTTTAACCATTTGAATCGAAAGAACATTAACCATAAAATTGTGACCTCTAAGAGAAACGAAGAATAACATCAGTTCTCCATGGGAGCTGGGATAAAGTATTAAGTCTCGCCGTTTTCTTGGTCCGGTCTGTGACTCCCCAGCGCTGTAGTGGCTTCTAGAGTTGAATGGCCATGCCCTTCTGGGACAAATACAGAGGAAGTGAACTATTGAGTAACTTAACTTACCTAATCTAACATGTGTGCTTATAACAAAGATAAACACCACCACAATTCATGAGGAAAAAGTTTTTAGTCCTGTGAATGTTTGTTACTTTTCATATTTTAGAGATTTTTAAAACTGATAAGGGGAAAGGAACTGAAATCCTTGGTCGACAGCCCTCTTCCCATCGGTTTAACAATTGTCCTTTGGCAAATGTTATTGGCTGTGCTTTACCAAGAGGAAGGATATCTTAACACTGTCAGTATTGAAGAGTCCATAGTTCTATTGCACTATTATTCAATATTTGAAAATATTATTGTTTATGGGACTAGTCCTTTTTCATTGCTTTGAACTATTCAATAACTAACTTTACTGAACTTTCACTGATTACCAGCTTTATAAAATCTTGGTAATCTTTAGAACTTTTTTTCCCCATGTAATATTTACCCATTTTAATTGAAATATTGCTCATTTACTCATGTAACCAATTATGTTCCCTCCGTAGATTTACCTGAATTTCGGCTCGAGGCTCACGCTAACGCCGACGTCCACAGAGAAGCCTGGATCCCAAAGTCCCAGCTCGGTCCATCCTGTGAAGCCGGAGAGTAACAACAACCCCCAGACACAGCCCTTACTGCTCCAGCATGAGGTCTTCCTGGCGGGGAGCGGGAGCGGTCTGAGAGCCCAGCGGGTTTAGCACCAGACGTCCCATCACGGCTATCCCATAAAGTGCCTGTAAAAGAATTTTTCTGCTCCGGTACCTGTGGTGTTACGGCCTTAGACAGGACAGAGGCGAAACAGAGACCAAAATCTATGGCTTTCATTGTGCGTGTGACTTTACTGGGAGGACATCTCACAGACTATTTATGGCTCCCGAGTTGATGAAGAGCAGGATAGACTCAAAGGCTTTCTCCATAACGTTTCGACAACTCCAACTTTTTTTTATTTTTCCGTTACATTTTCCTTAAGCATTTGGTTCATAATGATCTGTCTCTTTTTTTTTTTTCTTTCTTGTTATCTTACTTTACCATGTCTCTGCCATGCATCCATGTAGCACTTGTGATACCGGGTGCAGTTCTTGGAGAAAATTAAGCACTCAGGCACTTCAAGGAACATTCCACATCATTTCTCACATCATAAAAAGCAGCTTTCTGTTTTGTTTTGTTTTCCTGTTTTGTCAGTATTATGTTCACCTGTTTAAGTGAAGAAGATTCAAGTATATTCGGGGGCCAATTCAGTTGAAATTATGATAAAGATACTAGAATATAAGCTAATAGACGGGGCAAGTGGATGTACTTAAAACATAGTTAGCTCATTTGCTTAGCTTACCAAACTTTAGTGTTATAAAATGTTGGCTTTAGACGTGGTACGCTATCTGTTAATGTGCTTGTTGACGTAGGTGGAATCGCAAACATTGAGATTAACTTTTTGTGTAGATGTAAAGTTGACGTTGTTACATCCAGCAAAAGACTTGTTTACAAGAAGCATTACAACAAAAGGTACTGCCATTTTTTAGTTTTTCCTTTCATTGAACCCAGTGATGAAGGAATTGTTGTGTTGATAGATTTATATTATAAAGTTGATAAAATCAGGGTTATGTGAATGCCATTTTCTGTTGGACTGTGGGGAGGAGTGGAAAAGCTACATGGGCCCAAATATCGTCCCATTGTTGTCCGGCCAGTAGCCGTTTTCCCAGATTCCTCCAGCTGTTTCCTGGTTCAGCTTTGGGGATTTAGGCTTCTCTACGTTCATAGGACTTCCCCACGGCTGGATGTAAGTGTCCTGTATGAATGGATGGACATGCAGTATATACTCTTAAGAAATAAAGTTTTGAAATTGAATGATAAAGTTAACCAACCTTTTCCACGTACGTTTTTGATGTTGGATTAAATCAATAAAGTCAATTAAATTCTACAATATTGTTGGACTTCATTGACTTAATTAATCATATATGTCAGCCTCTTAATTTAAATCATCCTGACCATGGGACACTAGAAGTAGAGTATGTATTTTCCAACAATAATACATTTGAAATAGTCCCTCCACTTGGTATAACTAGAATACTTAAACCAAAAACAAGGGGCCTCCAGAATTTGAAATTATTTTTGACCAATCAAAAGGCTTCGGGGGTGAGCATGGGCGGGTCTTCCAAACGTTTCATTCCATCTTCACACTTTGAAGATGACAGAGTTGTGTGGGAAATGTTGATGACCCTCTCCCCATTGGTTTAACAATTTATCATTGAAATCCAATACTTTGTTTCTTCGAGTGCAGTGTGTATGCAAGTGTATCAAAAGTTTGAAAAGTTTTAAGAGGTGCCACTACTTATCCTTGTATAGGAACTCACAGTTATGTCTCTACTGTCAATGTAAATAATAATGTACGTATAATATTTTATTTTAAGTGGATGGTACTCTGAGAATATTTGATGCTGTATTTTCTTAACCTGTGTGTGCTCAGAACTGGAGGCGCAGTGACGGTCACCGAAATGACTTTCTTTTGGGACATTTTTTTGGCTTAAACCCTGGCAGTGCTTACACCGGTCTGCTTAGTTTTAATGAGGCTCACAAAAGATGTCCAAAAGGCGGCAAGAGAGACTATTTTTGCTGTTAAAGTTTCCTCCCTAAAGGCTCTATATTTATTTAACGTGCCGCTTCAGTGACACCATGTACATTTGATGTGATGCTCTTAAATGTGTCAGTGTAAATAAAAGTATTCAATTTACTGGGTATTGTCAATAATGGTTTCACATTCACATCCACTGTATCCATCCATGTGGGGTTGATAAAGAAGCATCATGTGTGAATATTTTTTCTTCATGTGTTTGTGTTTGAAGAAGAAGAATTGGTTCATATAAGGTCTTTTGGTTGCATTATGATTGTGATTATCATTTTTGATCAAATAATAATAATGCGACAGTAGCTCAGTTGGTAGAGCATTGGCCTTCAGGCCTGAAGGTTGTGGGTTCAATTCCCACCTCTACACCTTCTCCACCGACTCCCACTGATGACTGCTGTCGTTGTGTCCTTGGGCAAGACACTTAACCCCACTTTGCCCAAAAGCCCCCACTGAAAGATCAAGGCTATGCTCACACTCAGAGAGCAGCCGTCCTCCTGTGGACTCACCACCTGCAGAGGGTCAGTGAGGGACTGGTGCTATGAGACTTGGGTGGCATCTCTGATTGCCACCCCCCTGACCCAGAAATGGATTAAAGGGTAGAAAATGGATGGCTAATAATAATTATGCTTTGGTTATATATAGTGCCTTTTTGGACATTCAAAGATACTTCACATGTCTATTCATTCATTCCATACACTGTTGTGAATAACTACTGCTGTAGCCACATCTGCCCTGGGACACACTGACAGAAGAGAGGCAACCACTCACATACACACCAGATTCATTCAAGGCAATGTGGGTGAAGTGTCTATAGTGATTTTGTGTTTTTTCTTCATTATGCAAGTGAATATAGCGTACAATAGCCCCATTGTGAGACCCATCAGCCCAAAGCCTCACAGAGTGACTAAAACGGCTCATCTATGCATTTTATTCAAATGTTTTATCATTTCTAAAGTGTAGCAGTATTATTTGGAATCTGTCTTTTAACAATACATTTTCAAAAAGTTGGGCCCCCCACATCAAACACTGATGACATCAAACCATAGACTGTAAATATTAACGGACGGAGTCACGCCTATCTCCGCCATTCAAACTATGTGCCACCACTTTTGCCGCCTATGGGCAGTTTCAAAATGGCAGCTGGGGCTGGAAAATGTGAAAAAACACATCTGCGCATGGGTCAGCCGGCACTAGCCCCATTAATTTAACGTGTGCCTTCAAAATTTCACAGCGTCTAAACTAGAGTGGTCCAAAAAAATACACTCCCCTCAGCATTGACACACATGTGGAACGGAGCGTTATTGTATTTATTTCTAAAGTTTCGGTCACATAGACTGTCGGAGGATTGGACAGACTAAGAGCTGACATCAGATTTTTGCCCAATGCAAAAGAAGTTGATTAGAAAATCAGGCATATTGGCGAGTTTGAGATTTGGAGTTTGCCTTGCAACAGCAAAGGCAAGCTGGAGTTCACTCTAGCGAATGAATGCATCTGATTGGATTGCATGCAATCCAAGCAGATGCATTTTGGATTTACAAAGAAAAACAGCCAAATAAAATGACAATAATAATGCATCAGTTTTATATAGCCCTTATTTGGACAGTAAAGACGCTTCACTCACTCCATACATGGTGGTAATAAACTACTATTGTAGCCACAGCTGCCCTGGGGCACCCTGAAAGAAGCGAGTCAACCAGTATGTGCCATCGGCCCCTCCGACCACCACCAACCATTCACACACACACCAGACTCATTCTAGGAAATGGCGGTAAAGTGTCTTGCCTAAAGACACAACAGCAGTTTGGCACTTTACAGCCGCCCCACCGTGGCACCTGGTGTTCCCAGAGGTTAAGAGTCTTGCCAAGGACACAACGACAGTAGTCAATGGGAGTCGATGGTGAAAGTCTTGAGTTGGACTAGAACCCACGACCTTCTGGCTCAAAGGCCAACACTCTACCAACTGAGCTACCGTCCTGGTGTTTATCAATCAACACCAGGATCGTGTGATACAGTTACTGAGCTCAAGGAGTTCACTTTTCAATGTAAGTCAATTGAAACCAAACTTTATCCCTGAGCACTTCACTTTTGGGCTTCTTTGAGCTGGCATTAGCATTGTCCATCTATATCATACAGTATATTAGCTTATGGGAAAGCATTGTACCACAAATGTCACAAAAAATACAGTATGAAATATGAGAAATGTCTTTGAACTTTTAAACACTATACAATCTGTAAACAATGCATATTCAATCCTGGTCAGGGTGCACATTTACTTGAATATTTCGTCATTTCTTCTTCCACAAGTCGTACATGAGAGGTGCTTGTTTCTTACATGCTGCCGGCCATCTGCACGTGCTCAGAGCAGGTTGTTCCTCTGCTTTTGCCAAGTCTCAAGTCATTCAGATCCGCTGGACTTTTGTGTGGAGGAAGTGTGCAGTCCAGTCAACACACTTTGGACATCTGGTGTAAGGGTGAAAGAGGACTCAGACCGGAGCGTGGGCGGGGGCCATTGTTTGAGGATCTAAGTGATAAGAGATAGCCAGGAAATCCCACCATTCAAGCCCATTCAATCAACTCATGTTTGGGGAAGCATTACACCAAACAAGGCAATGACCAAAATTACACAGATTACAGTTAGAGGCTTTGAATCCATTGTATATGCGTTATTAGGCCAGCAGCTTTATTCTATAGGCCTAAAAGGACCAGAATAACCATGGTGAGGTTAAGGCAAGGCAAGGCAAGTTTATTTATATAGCACAATTCATACACAAGGCAATTCAAAGTGCTGAACAAAACAAGAAAGCATTAAAATCATAAATAATCACAGAACATTAAAAAGAAAGATAAAAATATAAAATCCCTCAGTTGTATGCACAGCTAAACAGAACTGTCTTTAACCTGGTTTTAAACATTGTCAGAGAGGAGGCCTGTCTCACAGGTTAACTCATTCATTCATTGGTTAACCTATCCCTTGTTTTACCCTGTTATCTGCTGCTTTGACCGCTTGCTTTCTGTATGTATGTGGTTCAATGGGTGTATGCTGCTTTCCCCTGCCACCATCTGGACACCCTAGTTCTT